AATGCAGTAGATTGTGCATGAGAAGGCTGCGAGCATCTCAGTCATCAGAAGAAGTTGAAAGATGGCGAGAGAAAGGTAAAATGTACAAGAGATAATCTGTGTTCCGTCAAGTGCCAGAAGAAGCAGTAAGGCAGAGAGAGAATAACAGAATATATATGCAAAGACTTCGAGCATCCCAGACTCCTGAAGTAGTGGAAAGGAGACGAGAAAGTAGCAGACTACAGGAGGTTATCTGTGCTGTGTCAGTGACCAGAAGAGTCTGCGAGACAAACCCCTGATGAAGTTGAAAAGCAGAAAGAAAGGAACAGAATATATACGCGGTTATCCTTGTTATGACGAACTCCTGAGGAAGCAGCAAAGCGAAGAGAACAGAATAGGTTGTACCTGAGACAGTTACGAGCAGCTAAAATGAATAAGAATACAGAAATTAGCAAAACATCGAAGCAGTCTGTGTCACATCTGACACCTGAAGAGGAAAAAAGTTAATTTCATATGGAAGGTCTTGAAATATCGCAAAGAAATTAGACAACTAACAAATGTCCATGTGGAAGGTCTTGAAATATTGCAAAGAAATTAGACAACTAACAAATGTAACAGAAATATGAGTTGTCAAAAGCAAACTAAAATTCTCCAGGTGTTGAAAGGCAAGAAATTCTAGGATTTGAGGTTTTCATAGCGGTGAGTTTGAAGATGGCTGTCTTCTGGGTTTTTGCGCTGTGTAGTCAACATGGTGCTACAACCCAGAAGACATCCATCTACAAGAAGAAATTGCATTCCACATGTTAGAAAATAATAGATTATTTGAGTTGAAAGACACAGGCATGGAAGGACAAAGTGCTCTGAATATTTGCAATTCAGGACAATCAGTGGAAATGGAGAAAATTGAAAGAGAAATGAATAGGCAAATGTGGCAACATAATAGCTTCTGGGAGTATCTTGCTTTGTTAAATAAACCATGATCAGACCAATATGGCAACATTTCAGACTTACAAAGATGAAGACAGGAAAAAAGGCAAGAAGAATTGAAGGCAAACTCAACTGAAGAAGTTAGTGGGGAACAGAGGAAAGATAATACAGTAGAGAGGTTGATTTTTTTTTCAAATACACAAAAGGACATTCTGTGCACCCCCTTTCAACTGTTGAACCAGTTGACCAATGTTTACAAAATTTTGTATGAATGTTATGCATTTGGAGGCCATTCCAACCACATACTTCTCAGTTACCTACAACCAGTAATGTAAACATAGCAGATGAATGAAATTGTGAGTTGGTAGCAATACTAGTGCAACTCAGTATAGGGTCCTGAAATAATGTATACTAACATCTTAAAAAATATAATTTGCTAAGCCAACTAGTTACTAGGTGCTTCAAAAGTTTAAACAATGATAGAAAAAGTATTTGGCAGCACAGTGTTTACTGCATGAAATCTTTATATGGCTTTTGGTTTGATGATAACTTATTAGCTATTGGAAGTATGTATGTGGAATATGTTATAAGACATCATATGTATTGAATGTAAACAAAATCTTTACTCAAGTAATAAGTCTTTCCCAAAATGAATCAGTTGTTGTCGTTGATAATATCTAGCATATTTACAATGATTTTGCAAGCAGGAAATTAACACAAGTCAGATGGGATTTGATCATATGACTACCTGCTGAGTAGGGCTAAATTGCTTTATGTTATTGTGTTACCTAAGTATGGCATTAACAAAACAAGACTTCTAGGACTAGTAGTGTGCATTAGGAAATGAAGCTTTATGACTTCTATGCAGAAGTCCATGTTGCTGCATTTTTTTATGTTACAGCAACAAGGATCATACATTAGGAGAAGGGTAGGCATCTGAAATTAGGGTTCTGCCTGTGCATTACCCTTTTCCAAACTCGTTAACTGACTTCACAAAGTTTGTATGAACATTTGTGCCATCGAAGACCATACCAATCTCACCGCTTTTGTCTCCAACCAGTAATAGCAATATTGTGAATGTGCAAACTTCTGAATTGCTCCACTTAATGTAGGGTCATGAAATGATATGTTATAACACTGGAACTATGAAAAAATGTGAAATATTTTCTGCAGAAACCAGAAACATTTCAAATATGGAATTTATTAAAGAAAAGAAGAAAGAAAATTAAAATGAAATTTGGAGATGAAAGTGAAAGCCAAAAAAAATTTTGGGATAATTTTCAGAGTAGAAGTAAATGATTTTGATGTATTAAAGGCGCAGAAAGTCTCCAAACTTGTACTGGAATTCAATAAAACACTATTGCTAAGATATTATCGTCTGGATTATGTGAGAAGGATATTGGAAATGAATGTGAGAGAATGTAAGAACAGTCTCCAGTAAAACATTTTCAGCAACAATTAGTACAGTACATACAAATTAAGAATTCATAATTTGACTGTCTTCTGGGTTGTAGCACCTTGTAATGTGTTGGAAGTTTACCAACGTTTCAGAAGTCCTTGCTGCCTCCATCATCAGGGCAATTAGGTCTCATGGTGCTACGACCCAGAAGACAGCCATCTTCATACTCACCACTGTGAAAACCTTAGATCCTAAGAAGAATTTAGACAAAATAATGGAATGTCTTAGGGATCATGTTTTGCACCATTTTTCAGTGTTCAGCACATCCAAGTGTTGGTTTTGTCATGTGGTCAGATGCTTCATGCTTCTTTGCGCATGGGCACTACTCAGTTTAAATATGTAGTCTAGTAACTGAGTCCCTGGTAATATTGTAGAGGCCAGAGGTTCAGCACTGCTGATACCAAAGCTTGCCATTGGGTGTGGTATTGAACCAGTTTTATTAAGCTCCTATCCTCACTATTTTACTAAGATCCATTTTAATATTATCTTCCTATCTTGTACAGCTCAGTTAATGATGAATAAAATGAAAAGGCTGCACTGAGCCTAGTAATTTGTAAAAAAAAAAGGTAAATTAAAAGAGGCTAAAGAATTGCTTAAACACAGGGTGTGTAATTACGTGATGAAATTTGAGGTTCTCATGGCAGTGAAGAGGTTGATAAAGTCTACATTGCCTTACAACTGAGAATACAACATTGACATATGTGATTGAAACTCTACAGGACTAGATCATGGAACTGTTTACTACTACAGTTTTATTGTAGTAGCTAAGTCGTAATAGCATTGATTCACATGATTATGTTTCCTGAATATGTGAACTTGGAGATACCTTCAGTAATTCAAAGAAGTGGAAAGTTATATTGAACTGAACAGCTATATTCCATTCAGACTGTAGTTATCAGGAACATGCTTTGTCTGTGTATATTGCTATTATTCAGTTACATGTGTTTATTTTATGTTCATATCATCTCAGAAGAACAAATCTTTGCCAGTTCCACATCTGTATGGACTGTCACATCATAGCTGGTGGGTAATTTACAAGAAATAATGTGTGTATATTTCTCCATGTTTGTATCATGTTACAATAACTGAAAGTATCTTTGGTCCTTCACTAAAAATATTTAATAGTAAATGTGGTTAGCTATTACAAGTGAAATATGTTTCGAGATGGAGGTAATATTAAAAATGGATTACTAAAAGTGAAATAAATTATGTTGTTGTCATTGTTGGTTTTCTTGGTTGTAATGCTGTGTGAACTTGCAGAGAGATACCAACATTTTGGAGAAACTTACTGCTTCTGTCTTCAGGGCTTAAGATGACAGTATTTTCTTCTGAAACAATGGTATTTGCCTACAAGTTCACAGTGTCACAACCCATCCTTAACATCTTCGTTGCTGTGAGAGCCTCACATATGTTATATTACTATGATACTGAAAGCCATATTTATGAAACTTGAATTGTATATAATAGTTAAGACAAGAATTTAAAATGTTTTACTTATTTGGAAGTAAAGAATATGTGGCCACATTTTACATTTTAAAATGTGTCTGTAAACATTGTATTGTAATCCTCGGAGACTTAATTCTCATCTGAAGTAATGCACTTCCTATTGTTGAACACTTATAGGATCCATTTTTGTTGTCATTCAGTTTTAACCCTTTGAATGATATATTCCAACTGACCAGCTACTGTAACTGTGTACACTGCATGGTAGCAGAAACAGACTGACTGCTCGTTGATATTAATTTCTACACAAAAATAAAATGAGAAAG